AAAAAAAAAACCTATAGACACTGAAAGACGATTACGAAGAAAACAAAACCGAGAAACAAACAGAGAATTTAAAAAAGAGGTTTTAGAAACTTGATATAAACGAAGAGGTTAAGGTAGTCATTAAAACTAAAATTTGATTTCAATACTTACAATGATAACTTAAATGCACGAAGCCGTCCATGTACAACAACAAACTAATAAATTCTTTGCTTTTATGAGGCTTTAAGTATCCATAAGTATTAAACTACTTAGTCCCGGACTTCTTTTCTGGGTTTATGTAATCAAACTTCGCCCATTGGAAAACATAACCAAAGTACAAGTGTTTTTCTTGTCAATTATTTGTCGTGCAGGCACCGTCCATGATAAGGCAGGGGAAATGGATATCGTTTCTAGTGCTTTAAAAAAGCAAACATTATCAGTAGGGGACCAATTTTGGTGGCCAAAACAATTCAGGTGATGACTCAAAATTTATCCACTAGTGATTCCCCATTCAAGTGAAAATTCCTGCCAAATTACTCATTCAGTTTTATTTGCTAGACGCCCGCCTAGCGGTTTTGGATCGGACTAAAATGGCAGACACAAATCGAACACACAGCAAATTAGTAGCACGTGTAAAAAAGAGCAAGAAAATGCTAGGCCTATGGCTAACGAGCAAAGTAAACCGAAAATATGGACGAGTAATTTTTTCTTTTAACTTCGACGAAAATAACGTTTCGCTGAATCTCTTCCGTAGAAACTACGGGTATTAGAGCTGCCAACACAAATCTGCGGGTTTTTTTTTACTTTGGCCGATGCATTTAGGCCACAGCCTCTTTTCTAGTCCGCTTTTTCATAGCAGTGTTGTTTTTCACTAGTCTGTTCATGAATAATTTATATTTCACCCTATGCAAGTGATGGTTTTCATAACCAGCAACACAAAACTGTAGTTCAATAAGTTAACCAGCAGTTGCGAATTTGTCAGATTTTTATTTCTTTTATACATAATAAAAAGTACCTGTCTTTTAGACAATTGCAGCACTGTATAATAATGTCAGTTTTCTTAATTTTACTGCGGTTTGTGAAACGTCCTTTTCAAATGCTTTACAGAGGTCTCTTTTAAGGTTGGGGTGGAAAAAATGGCATTGTTGCTGACATTGTCTTTGCAGGTTAAGCAAAGCTTTTGCGGTGATTGCCAGTAATGGCTCTTCAAAGTCAATAACATACTACAAGAACTAAAGCTGGGTGCCCCTAAATCTCAAATACTAGGTTTAGCATTATCTTTCGCGCTGAATTCCAGTAAAAGCACGAACGCCGATGTTCTTTCTCGATGGGCAATCTATCAGGCAGGATTACACAAAAATCTTTAAAATGACGATTTTGCTAGTGTAGTATGTACTCCCTAAGGAAATACTTATACTAATTTACAAATAAAAGTCGTATAATCAAAGTATTCTGTTGTTAAATCTATTTCACACTGCATTATTTTTGTCACTCTCTGGCTCTGTTGGTACAACGTTTTTCAGTTCTACTGTACCAGCGCCGTTGCTTTCTTCAGGGTAATAAGGAAGAAAGGGAATGTACTTGGCGCATTTGTAAGTGCTCAACTTTCTTAAACCAAAAGGCAGATCATAAACATTAAGATCCTCCTGATCAGCCTCTGTATCATGTCTCCATACCGTCATGCCTCGCTCTTCAAGCGACCCAGGGATCGTGTTATCTAGAATCAGACCTGTTATTCCACCAATT